GAATACAACTCGTGATACTCCAGCTTGCTGCTTTAATTTCGCTCATGACATTGTAACAAAACTTCTCGCCTACGGCTCGAAAGTTTTGATGAATAGTGTCATTCGGCGAAATTATTAGGCGACAATCGCAGATTATTTCCGGCAAAATAGTATCACCTGTGGTATTACATATGATAAAAACAGAAGTCGAAACCGTAACCGTTGAAAACTGGAGAAACTGTACTGAACTGAACTGAAAAAAAATTAAAACTCTTATCGTTTTATGTATATAAATATCCTAGGTCCTAGAACCTATAAAAAGAGTTATCATTAATCTGGAAGATAGTAGTGATATCAATTGATTTAGAGTAAGATATGCCTTGTTTTATATTGTTCTTAAATGTTATATGGTATTATACTGTTTAAATATATTATTACTGCAAAATTTTGTTTGTTTATTTAATTCCTAACCAACTCTATACAGGGTGTCCTAACTTGCTTTGTTTTTGAGATACAGGATGTTGGGAGTTGGAAGTAGTCATTGTTTTTATTTCTAATCCCCCTATATAAGCTTTTTTGGTGACAAAATTCAGTATGGTTGTAGACTGAGAAAGCCCCAAAATTTCAAAATTAATGTAATTGGGGTTATTGAGTTATCACAATGGAAGTCTTGAAAACACCTACATTAAAATTGGAGTCAAATCGAATTTTTATTGATCCCTCAAAAACTAAGCTTGACACAAAAATCACACCGGGGATAAAAAAGTTGTTATTTAAATAGTTCAATCTAATAACCTAAGTATCGATAAATTTACCCACTGTGACGCCACTGGAAATATTATTTCGAATCTAATTACACCTGAAGAAGCTCCATATTACTATCAATAAAACCACAACGTTTTATTGAAATTGATAAAAAGACAATTGAGTAATGAATAAAAAAACGATCTTCCATGGAAATATTAATACTCCGTATCTCGAAAACGAAGGAGGTTAGGACATACCTAATATGTTCATATGAACTCCATTTACTGAAATATCACAATGAATCACCCCTTGAATTTTTTCGGTGTTATTTAGATACACCATGTACATATAATATTTATTTCGACACATTGTGAATGGAAATACTATCAGTTATTAAGTTATGCAGATGTGTTTTCATCAGGTATATGTACCTACATATATATGTACCTCGGTATGTACCTAAAACCTAGTAGACAAGTACAGTACCATATAAGTACTTTAAGTAGGTAGGCCGAGGTAGACACATCAATCACATCCTAAATTCAGAAATTCATTGGGAATTGAATAATTGATTAGCGGTTCGTAAGAAGAAATTTTACAGTATTGTTTATATGAATAGATATGATGTGATTGTGTTTGACTTTGGGCAACCTCCAATACTTCACACTACAGAAATGGTTGAAGGTAGGCATGAATGAGAGAACAAGGAGAGAACCGAGGAGAGAACTATCGAATTTGAACTAACAGGATGGGACGGTTTGACCCCCTAAAACGTTTATTGAACCTCGAGTTGAACCTCTAGACTAGTATATTATATACCTAATTATCCACTCATTAAAGAAACCTAGCAGATCCCAAGGTCACGACTCATTTGAGTAGGCAGGCATATTATTAGGTGCCACATAATATGATGATCATGATCATAGTAGGTAACAAAGCTTTCCACTAATTCGAATGGAACCAGCTATATAATTACCGACAGGAAGAGAAATGTTAATATAATAAAGTCATGACGCAATTTAGTTATTATGCATTTACGCATAAAAAACATTGTTAGTTTCACGACGACGTTTTCAACAGTTTTTCAACGCACCTCGCTTTGCAGTGTTTTAGGCGAGGTTTTAAGTGTGGATGATAAAAGATTTATGGGATCTCATACACTCAACAAAAATAAACACCACGTGTTTTTATTGAGATAATAATTTCTTTCCATGTTTGACAATCGGTTTTATGGTAAAACCTCGGGTAAAACGATACCGTGAACGATACACTTGATGGATGTTACGATATCGGATATTCAAGATATCACTTCCTGAAGCATATAATTTTTTTTAACATCATTCGAGATCCTTTTCTATTGTAGTACAGTGTTGCCTAAGCCTCAACGGAGTACTTGTATTGCTGTTTGCGAAAATATTGAATTTTTTTATTTGAAAAGTGTCCATGTTGAAAACCATGTGAAACAGACATTTAACTAGGTTCTTCACTATCGACCTCGGACACAATTTTTTTATTATTAAAGAAGTTGAGAACATAAAATTACCATATTCTTGAAAGAATAAGCGTGCCCGACCTTTTTAGTTTTGTAAGGAATGAAAAAGTGATATCTGCTTCCATCAAAAATAATTCGGACACAACACAATGATTGAAGAAAACGAATGTTTTATTATTATAATTCGAACATTTTATTCAACTTCGCAGATAATGAAATAACATCACAAAATTCTATAATAAAATGGGATGGAAATCAGATCTGCTCTTTGAATTGTATTTTTTTCTCAAGAAGCTCTCATTTGTGTCTGCTTATTATTTTTCATTGGTGTATAGTTCCTGTAGGAATGGCCACCAGGAACTTTTTTTTTGTCGAGGTGGTTTAAATCCTTTATGGGTCCACCATATGGGTCCTATCCCCCATATGATAGTGTGGGACTCCCCTGACTCTAGCCAGGGTTTACCCACTAAAAACTCCACCAGTCTGACCATGTCTCCGACGACACTTAGGCCTATGGTGGCCCATTGTATCTTACCTAATAGTTCTTCATTGTGCCCACTCCATTATCTCTGTACCTTGAACAAGTCTGTACAAATCCTTCACTGGATGTGAGTTGAATACTTCTGGTTCGCCAACTGGTTGCCCAAAGATCTTCTATCTTCTGCGGTCCAATGCCTCACATCGGCACAGTATAATATGTGCTACTGTTTCTGGTTCCTTGCCACAAATAGTCTGCAGCTTGGGTCGCCATTGTACAGTCCCATTCTGGCGAGATGCTCCTTTACAGGCGCATGGCCAGTCATGAGTCCCGTAACAGTTTTTATCTGTGCTCTGTTCAAGTTGAGCAGGTCTACAGTTCGTTTATGACTTGGTTCCTCAATGTATTGTTTCCCATGTCTTTTTCTTGAGATGTTTTTCCAGTAGCTCTTATGTTTTGCCTGAATCCAGTCTTTAACTGACACTCGTGCTGTACGTTTTGGTACTCCAAGAGTCTGTCCTGGATCTGGCTCGTTGTCCGACCCTCTTCCCAGGAACTGTATTGTAGCTCCAGCCCATGTTAGACATCACCAGCAAAATGGCTGTTATTCTGGTTATCGCCCTGTATACAAAAATATAAGATATTGAAGACCAAATACATGCTCAAGCCATTATTTGGACATGAGCCTTACAAAATATGATTGCTAATATCCTCTAAATTCAGCTCGAAAATCCTTACAGCAATTACTTTTCCACTTTTGAAAGAATGCCTATATACCTATTCTATAGAGAATGAACACGCAAGTGAGTTGAGTCGATAGCGATCTCCACTTCAGAAGTACTCTAGATTGAAAGAGGAAAATACCGATTGTCCGAAGTCACACTTACTGTCCGAAGCTCGGTCCGAAGACACCTCATTTGACGGTTCTTTACCACCCCGCATTCTCGACCATTATATCATGTTTATTCCGAGGTTGAATCAAGACCATCACCATCCATCAGATTGATTCAAGAGGAAATGAAATACTTGACATGTAAACATTATAATGTACTTCTAAAAACTAAAAAAACTCGTGAACAACTAAAACATTTCAAACATAGGAACCTGATGGTCATTGCCATCGTCATTGTTTTTGATTCCTAAAAAATATGATGAAATAAATTCCGCATCTCCATAACAGAAGTGTATTTTAAAATATCCTCGCATACGTTTATTTTTACCTCGATTTTCACTTCAGAGTATCAATTTTTTTATCTTATCATTTTCCAATCATCAACCATCATCCTCGAAAACGAAAATGCCAGTTTTATAATTTCAATATCAGGCGGAATATGATAATAGCGAGGATATTAGTTTTTTCTGCAATTACTCCCTATCAGCTGCTACGTTTCTGATAACTATACCATCTAATCTATTAATCTTGAATAGAAGTTCATGTTTTTCTCAAAGTGTAATGATGACTCGAATGATGAGATCAAAATATTTTTTTCGAGATTTTTTTCCACAATGTCATCGCGAATGTCGTCTCCACAACATAATAGTTCTCACACATGGAGAGACAAAAACACGAGGCGAAAAAATCTGTGACAAATAATTGAAGTACAAAAATCGATGGTATTATTACCTTGTATTACTAAGATTGCCAAGAACATCTTTTAGGGTGAGTATAACCAATTATCCGCCAGTGGGGTGGGAAAGACCTTTCGACAACCACCATCTTCGAGTCGAAGACTTGGAGAGACCATCCATAGAAAACCTATTTTAACACGATGACACCAAACAGAACACAGAAATAGGTATTTTTCCACTCAATATTTAGCTCGTTGTTAACTTTCAATTTAGTATTGTAGAACTGTTTTTTGTAAGGCTGATCATGGACTATAGTGTCTGAAACATGTCCCTTTAGCAACTATACTGTTTACTCAATAACAATAAATGTTGTGGAAACGACATTCAAAAAATCACTTTGATTTAATCTATTGTTTTTATATGGTTTCTGTCGTATTGCTCTGAGACAAGGTTTTAATCGTGGGCTCTCGTTCTGTCGAGTAAGATGTTCTATGTAGACTGACAAGGTTTATGACACTTGATTTTTCCAGGTACCCGAGACAGGACATCCATTTGCTGACCCACTCTAGATCCACTTCAACAATTATTATCGAAACCACCTGTTGCCATAGGGGTTCCTCGACCAAACTAGACACTAGACTACACAACATAATAAACGGTTGAAACGGTTCGGTTAGTCGTCAGTGTCATAACCTCTTGAGCGATGTGTAGTAGTGCCGTTGAACTTTGAAAAACATGCCGGAAAACGACAAAGAACTAGTGAAAAGCAATGGCACCGAGGCGACGGAACCCACGGAAATCGACCCTTGCATGGAGGACTCGAAAACCGGCGGGAAAGCCGGCTTTCTGCACAGGTACCGCGACCGGATAAGCGACAGGACCGGCCTGTCGCGAAACGGCGTCTATGTCGTAGGCGGCCTATCGGTGTTCGCGTTCGTTTGTTTCGTGGTGGTCATCGCGCTGGCGGCCACGTGGCCGAGGGTGCCGCACCGGTTCCGGTTTCCGGTTTGTCGGAAACCGGAGTGTTTGCAAGCAGCTGCACAGGTGAGTCCAGTTTATTTTTTTTAATGTTATGGTTCCCACGAAAAGGGATAGGGATACTCCAGCTCACTGATTTTATCTCCATAATTAGCAGACAATGTTTTTTTCCAAATCGCTACTCCTCCAAGGTGTGTTACTCCCCTCCCAAGGTGTGTTACTCCCCTCCGAGCTCCCCTCCCAAGGTGGATAGAATGTGGTGTAATTACAGTGTTTTGTTTCTCCCAAAACGCTTGACCGCAGATTCCGCAATAATAGCATATTAGTTCTTAGTTGTCCGCAAGATGGCGACACTTTTTACAGATTTCTCTCATGACAGAAAACAGAAAATGGCGCTTACACACCGCTTGCACCAGAAATAATATCATAACATTCATAACATAACCTCAAATCAAATGAGATAAAATTTGAAAGCACGAAACTGTAATCTTGGGTAATTTCAATTATCATCAGTTCTACCAACCTTGAATTTTGGTTGAGATTCCGCCATCTAACAGTAGATGGGATTTGATAGGAATCCTCTTCTAAGGTACGTTGCTCCACTCCCAAGGTAAGTAAGTCAATGTGTTTACCGCCATTTTTTTTATATTATATTTACCTATTTTTCTGTGAGGAAATTCAATTGAAGAATTGATTGGTTTGAAATTTTATTCTTTGAGGTATATTCAATCGTTTTCCCCAAATATCTCATCTTCTAAGGTACTTTGCTCCGCTCCCAAGGTATGTCAAGTCAATGTGGATACCGCCCTGTTACATTTGAAACTCTCTCAGAAATCAAAGAGTCGTTGAACAAAATGTTTTGTAATTTTTAATTTTGGAGGGTTTTCTTCGAGGTTTTCTTGTTGGAATCATTAGAGTGGCAGAGACAGCAGAGACGACAGGTCTTCTGTCTTCTCTCGCTTTCACTACTGTGTCAAATGTCGACAGAGTGAATGTAAAGTTACCTAATCCTAATAATGGAAGCTTGTCATTGCGAGGAATATAAAAAAGCCGTGGAAAATATCAAGATAAACACAATATCAACAATACTTCCACTATTATCAAGAGAAAATGGTGAGTCGACGTGGATGTTAATAATTTCCGGATGTCAGTAACGATACATCATCAATTCTAGTTCCAGAAGATTACTGTCTGAAATGGATGTGTAGTACGTTGGACACTAAGGATCTGAGACTCACGAAGCCTGTGTTGATCGACAAAAGAAATACCGAAGAAAATGATTTTCAGGTGCCAGACATCCCAGCAGAAACCAAATGGATGCCAATCTTGCCTGGGCTACTTTCTCAAAGGTACTAAGAGGAATACCCTCGGGAATACCTAAATTATTTTGGCTTGGACCCCTGACACTTTTTTTTCTATTGTGCTATTTTTGAACTCTTGGAGGTTATAAGTTCTGGGGAATTCATGCACTTCTCATACTATCTTCATGCTATGTTCTTTTCAGACTCGCCAATGAAAGTAAGAAACTAAAGGCTCCATTTTAGCCTGGAACCAGTGGATCTGACTTTGGAGGAGAGAGAATACCAATTACAGAAATAATATGTAATTTATTAAACATATTAATATGACACTGGCCTTTCATCAAAATTATTCTTGAGTTATTTATAGATACAAGTATCATATTTACATATCAGTAATTACTGGAGATGTGGAAATATCTATCTACATGCAGATTTTGCCTTAACCTAAAACTGAGCCTAAAACGCTGATCAAGAACCGGTATAAAAACATCTATATTTTCCGAGATATTTTCATTATCGAATAAGCGCCAAATATTGTATGATTTATTGTGATATGAAGCGAAAATATAGGTTTCGGGTGATAGAAATCGGTGAAGCTAGATAGGCCTCAACTTGATGTGCTGTTCAGAAATTGTTTTTTTTTCTGTTTTTTTTTTATGAATAACCTCAATAACATCTTTCATAGAGCATAATAAGCGATAATAAGTTTAGTAATTGTACCAAAGATTTAAAATAATTATGGAAGCAGCACCCTTCGGAGCACCTTTATCACTGTTACATTTCAGATGATCTATGTTTTGCGAGATGTATTTCACACAGATATAGGTTGCAAACAGAGGTATAGCCGGGTATAGCATATTGATCTCGACGTAGATTAATGTCTCCTTGTTGAAAATGAAAATGAAATGATATCACCTCGAAAATCACAGTTGGAGAATTTGAGAATTCCTCAGTCACCGACCACACCGAATTTTGACATTATGAAAGCTTATATACAGAGTGATAATGGAAAAAGGCAAATTATATTTCTAACATCAGCACCCTGTATCTCGAAAACTAACAAGTCATAGTGTTAGTTATAGTGGTATAGGTAGGTACTATCGCCTATTACATTTTCCCGTTTAGAATCTGAAACACCCTGTATAGTTGCATTGGATTGTGTTTCCCCAGGTTTTTCGTGTCATGAAATATTGTGGATTTCAATTTATTGAAAAAATACCTATACGGAGCTCTGAAAATACGGTTGGTGACAGTGAACCAGTGAACTAGGTATACAGGGTGTAATTTATTTGATGGCTGAAAATATAGGATGTGGTTCCTTAGCTCATTTCACGAAGAAAAGTTCATATGAACATATTCCCTAAATCTCTTAACTTTCGAACTATAGGGTGTTCACATATTTTATTTTCTCATAATTGATTAAAGAAACTTTCCGAGAAACTTTCACAAGGAAAAAAACTCACGTTTATGAATACTTGTCAAAATAAGACAGCAACGTAATCAATCAAATGTCATTATTTCAAATACAAAATAGATCATAATTAGCCTACTATTTCAAAATAATTTCGTTATTCCACAAATGCATGCAAATTATTTTTATTTTTTTACGCGAAAACGGTTCGTCGGACGGGAAAAAATCAGAAGATCAAATTGTTGCAAAAAAACTGTGGATTTCTAAAATGATTTTTAGTGTTAGAAAAATCAAGGGCGTACCATATTTTTTTCAAAAAATCTCAAGGATACCTACTTTACGTACGCCACTGGTAGAGATATTGAAAAATCTCGAAAAATCTTCTGCATCGGAAAATGCCTATTGGTGCTGAGTAGGTGCATGTCAAATTTCATATAAATATCTAGATATCGAAGTTATAAGAAAATGATTTTCTTCTTAAAATTTTAACAAGATGAGCTAAAGAACCATATCCTTTATTTTCAGCCATCAATTTAATTACACCCTGTATAGTTTCGGTTACTATGCCTACTTCGAAAGGATGAAATCAAATTGTTCACCGAAATAGGCCCATTATTGATGAAAGGCTAACGATGATTGAAAATTTATAAGGCCTTGAAGACGAGCTTGAAGATAACCCAAGTATCATTATCAAAAAATATGGGATTGGCAAAAATCAAATCTGATACGTTGCATATTACACGAGATATTTCCAATCTAATCTGTATGAGAGAAAAACATTTGTCCAACGGAAGAAATGTTAATAAACCTATATTGTCTCGCCCTCAGTCGCTGTTACGAAAATAGATCTTCGAACGCTTTGTTTTGAAAATTACCATATTGTTAACGTGTGACCCCTGTCATAAATATTCGGAGTACAGTAAACAATTGAATGAGAGAATGAGATTTCAGGAATCCACTAAGATGAGTAGTTTCGGTTATTTTCGGATACTGTGGATTGAAATCGCACATAAGGCGGCAATTTTTTTATATATATTCCCTCGTATACCCAGCGAGCACAAAAACATCTCAGAGATGTTAAAAGTACGAGATTTCGAGACATTGAACCTCCACTGCGATGTTCTGTTCACACATGAATAGAACTATTATAGAACAGCCAATGTCCGCCGCAGGCGGCAATTATCGAGATGTCCTTGATATGTCACAAAACTACCTTCTCCCTAGTTCTTTTTAAAGCCTTTCCATGGACACATCAAAACATTTTCAACGCCTCTTGCGCACATTAAATCGCTGTAAAAAAACCATTTTCGAGGTACTTTTCTGAAGCCTTTTGTCAAAGTGAACTTTTGCATTAGGATTCCATTTCCCTTGAATGAAAAAATGCATTAAAAATAGATTGAACATAAAAATATTTTCTTGATATGAAATTACCTTCTTAATCGGTTTCTGAGTAGTGCTTATTACTACACACAGACATATAATTATTGGAAATAGGTTTCCCAATTTTTGAAATGTTCTCCACAATGCATAATTTTGCAACTGCGGAGAAGCTGTGTATTGATAAATTCGTACTTTTATATATGGATTACACTGAGGCACATCTTGCATCTGATGGTCATTATTACAAACTAAATAAGTCTTCTAACACAATAAACTTCACCAAATTCTTTTCTGTTCGTTAGCAGCGTGATGTAAGCGTGACACGCTGCAAACGCGAATGCCAATTGCGAACAAGAAGAACAAAATCGAAAACAAATCAGAATTCATCGTATTGTGACGTAAGCATGAGACGTTGTGGTGGGGCAAACAAAGAAAGGGCACAAAAGAACAAAAACAATACTTTCAATATCCTTCTAAGACCTCTTTGGGAAGTGCATATTACGCCTCAAAAAAACCTCCTCATGCCTACATTTCTAAAACATCCCAAAACATCCCAGGGGTACCTCTCAGTAGGCAAACAAAGAAATGCCACAGAAGAACAAAAACAATACTTCAATATCCTTCAAAGACCTCTTTGGTCAGTGCATATTACGTCTCAAAATAACATCTTCATGCCATCATTTTCAAAACATCCCAAAACATCCCAGGGATGTTTGTGCTCGCTGGGTATTCCCGATATATTCCCGATTTATTCCTTATCCAATTGTTAGTGCTCGTTCATTATCTTCAACAATAAATATCAATACAATCTAATTCCAGTATTTCACATTTAGATTGTGATCATGTTTCTATACAATGGCTGCAATTAGAACTATTCCACTTAATTATATAAGTATCATATTTCTTCCATCAATAAGGACGAACTACGTAAATAGCGTCTAGTATCATTTCCAGATGTTAACAGACTCCATAAAGTTACAAGTGCTCATCAAAGCAGTCATCAAGCATCGTTTTTTTTTTTTAAACGCCGACATCATGTCGAGTAGCAATTTATGGGACTTTGTCGAGATTCGCTTTTTTCTCGGTTTTTTAACGTGATGTGAGCAAAAATTAACATTAACAGATTACAGAAGAGTTTGGATCTGGTCTGAGCGCGTGTGCCAATTTTCATGGAAATCACTCGGAAATGCAATGAGTCCGGATCTCGGTCCGGAACTGGTCCACATTATTTACCTCAAACATACCAGGAATAGTGATATTCTGACATTATTCCATCACGTACGGCAACATTAAAAGAAACTTGACACCTCGCTTGACACTAAAAAAATTTTTCTACAAACGTCAAAAAATGACAAGGTTCGCGCATTGATAACAAATTGCGAAGTGACACTTTTTTTCAGTTTCCTACGTAACCATGATACCTTGCACAAAACAATGCGCGAAGTAAAACAGTGCGCGAAGTACCTACTTCGCGCATTGTTATGTAAAATATATGAGATATTTATCTTTCAACTTTATGGTCCCTCATCGAGCAGACATCCACAAAATCATTTATTTCTGAATGTTCGACAATAACTTTGTTTTTTCTCTTGGAGCGCACGAAAGGAAATTCCTATTATGTTCGTGGAACATCGTGCGTACCTAGGGAGGATAGGGGGAGACCTTTCAAGCCAGTTCAACACTATTTTTTATATCAAGCTAAGCATATTTTCACTTTAGAACTATATTTTTTGACGTTTGTAGAAAAAATTTTGTTTGCAACTCGAGCGCGAAATACTTTGGTGATCGAGATCTGATTTTTTTAACGAGGCATTTCGCGCTCTAGATACAAAAATAACTAATAGTTGCCTGAATAATAATGATAATAATAATAATAAATGACTTTATCGTTTTCAACAGTTACAATATTTTAGTAAAAGTGAATTAACATAGTACCTCGAAATAAGAAAACAAAAGGCGAAGTTCAATTTGGATGCCGCAAGTGTCACCAAATTGCTCTTCCACTTAACCTCACAAAATCTCTACCGTGCATTTTCAATAAATATAAACAATAAATTTGAAAGGAACAATACATACATAATGGCGATGGTAGGCGATAAATCTTCTGGATGTGCGAATAGTGTTGAAAAAGTGTTAGAATGAAGAGAAGGCACGGCCACCTCATTACTGGTTGTCAAACAAATAACCCCTGAGTTTTGTTTTGAATTTCTGTGATTTCACATGTCTTATATCATTGGGAAGTGGGTTATGGATTTCACAAATCTGGTAGCTAAAAGATCTATTGAATTGTTCTGTTCTAAATTTGTGTGGGGTTAAAGTACCTTTGAACCTGATATTCAAGGTGTGAACATCACTGCGGTGCGTTACTTTCTCAAATAGGTATGGTGGAGTCTTGGTTGATAATATTTTGTGACATAAATGAGCAGCATGATGGATCCTTCTATTCTTCATGCTCAGTCAGCCAATTTCACGAAGCTTATGTGATATTCTTTCATATTTTCGAATTCCGTATATAAGTCGCAAACATGAGTTTTGCACTTTCTGTATTTTTTGAATGTATTGACTATAGTTAAGCATGGATAATACAAGGAATCCGCGTAATTGAAGAGGGATAGAACCAGGGTGTCACAAAGGATTGATTTCAATTTGATTGAAAGGAAGTGTCGGTTACCATATTTTCAAAGATGAATATGCTCACTGAATTGATTTTTTTATATATATATGTTTCTCGTATCGCAGGTTATCATCTATAGTAAAACCCCGTGGCTCCTGGCACAGAATACTCTCTGTGCTCCTGGCTTCATGAACTAACTGCAGTGATTCATTTTCAATACAAATATCAATTGAGTTATGAATTTCATTTCGATTCTTTTTTGGCTTAATAAAGAAAACATCCAATATTTCGGTTGATTTGAGTTCGTCTCGATGATTGTCATCCACCCTGTATAACTGGCAGTCGTGCTACCAATACTTCCCAATTGGTCACAATTCTTCATAATCCTCTGCGATTCATTTTTCATGAGTGCGTGTACCAGGATGTCTGAAAACCTCGCTGAAAACTCTGAAATATGATCTTCTTCATCTTACTCTTGGAGATCTTATTTCTGACAACCTGGATGTATACCTTTGATTACCTAAAAAACAATGTTATATGTTTGTTACAGATTCAGGAGGCCTTAGATAGCACAATTTCTCCTTGTGATAACCTGTGGAACTCAACGTGCGGGGGTTGGCTGAAGAAATACCCTTTACCAAAAGACAAAAGCGTCTGGAATATGAAACAACAGTTAGTGCGACAAGGTAAATGAAATGCATGTTTCCCATCCAGTTGGAAATTCCCACGGAAATACCCTAATTCTGAAATAATCTATTATTTAGGAATCGCATCCCACTAAGCTCGCCAAAGTTTTGTTAGTCATCAAAAAGAGACCGAATTCGTAGATTTTTCCATGGCCAATAAGAATATGCTTTTACAATTTAGGAATTCCCTTTCCAAACATGAAATTTTGGCCAATAAAAGTATGGAACCCCCTCCAACTTCCCCAAAACTGGATATACATAATTTTAGAAACAAAAAGAGATGAAGTGCCTAAAATACAGGGGCATGATAATTTTCAGAAGTTTTACATACATTCACAAAATATTAACATCGAATTTTGAAGCACCTTGTATTAAAAACGACTGGTGGACTGGATGGACAGAAAAAATCACGGAAACACATAATTAATTTTAACATATGTTAATTTCAGATTAACGAGTTAGCAAAATGTAACAGCAACACGATGTTCTGAATAGATATTCGAAATAATTCTTCCCCTTTTTTTCCCGAAATTAGCCATTCCACACTCGTCTTCGGACGAACACCATTGAGTTAACAATACGAGATATAATTTTGAGCAGATATCAACAACAGAGTGATATTTTGCTAGACTATTTCCCGAAGCATAAGAAGGATTTATTATAAACATGAACATGCCATATTATAATAATCAATGGTCATTCGTTTTCCCATTTGCGCAATGAAAACGCCCCTTCTCGAGCATTTTCGTAGTTAAAGAGGTTAGTAGTTTTAGACTTGTCAAAAAGAGTTAGGTACTCGTGAAAAGCAGTACCGGATTAAGCCAGCGCGGGACCTGTAGCAAATTCTATCAAGGGGCCCTTGGTTTTCTTCAGGTTATCAAGTTTAGAGTATTGAATGAAATAAAACGAAACTATTACAAATAAATTTCTCTAGATATACCTATATGGACAGATTTAGAGATAACACTTTCAATATCGACTTCTTCAAGCAAATCATGCTCTATATTCTTAAAAGTGATTAATACGTTTTAATACTAAAAAAAAAACGTTCGCCACTACAGTTAGCGATCATGAGATACTAGTAAATTCGCAAGGCAATTTCTGTATTTGGGAAACATGATTCTAAAGAATTATTCAATGAAAGTTTATAAAATTGTAGTTCCAGAGGCTCCTGTTTGGTGACAGTACTCACATTCGTTTTGAACAGCTCAACGGTCTACACTAATTCGTCGCCTAGGCTCAGGGGCGGATTTACCGTTACGCTTAGTATGCTTAAGCTTAAGGCCCCGAGCCTTGCAGGGGCCCGGCAAGGGCCCTTTCATTGCATCATTATTTCCCGCCATCATTTGTTTGTTTAAATGAAATAATGATAAAAATACATTTTTCCTCTGAGCAGTATTATTATTTATATAGCAGCAGCGTCAACATTGTAAGTTGATCATAAATGTTGAACATCAAATGAATGAAAGACCGAACAATTATTAGTTTTAATAGAAATTCGGCCCTTCACCGGTAGATGTCGACAAACACATATCAGCTTTGGTCCATGTCGGAAACGACGGGTCCTGACAGGCTTGTCGCCAGTTTTACACAAGGTTTGATTGATAGTGAAGAAAAGTTAATTTGCATGGATCAGATTTCAGCTCAAAAAATTTCGGTAAGAGAAGCAGCTTCTGTTAATTCAAAAAGCGGAGGGCAAGGCTATACACGCTGTAACTGCAAAAAGAAGTGTTCTACTTCTGAATGTAGCTGTAAAAACAAGAGCCTTTTGTGTAATTCAAATTGTCATGGTAGCTTGAGTTGTTGCAATTAATAAGGTTGTCAAACATTTACTTTGTTTTTTACATTTTAGTTAAAGAAATAAAATGCATTTTATTTTTATATCAATATTATGTTCGTGGTGTTTGTCTCAAGTTCAACAACGTCTTTATGTTCATTTGAAAACTTCTTCCATGATTTAATCAAAATAAATAATAACCTATAGACTTTTATTTTGTTTTATTTTTATACAAAATTCTTTCGAACATACACCATGAGTATATGATGAATGTTGACATTCGCCGGTGGAAGTTAGGAATAATGATATTTGATGAATATATCGGACATAGACCAAGTAACTTGGTGAATGTTTACATTCACTGGTATATCCTGACAATCACCGGCTTTCGGAGTTTCACGGTAACATATACACCAAATGTAAGACATAGGGAGCTAATCAAATTAAACAAAAGTTGCGTAGTTTGAACTCTTTAGTTTTGCTAACTGAAAATAATTCAGCCGTACCTACCTACAATATTTCGAAAAAACTGGAAATAACTGATTTTGTTTTCTTTTTTTTTCCAGTTGATATTTGAGTAATAAATTCAAATGTTTGCCTATATAGGTAATTGATTATGACAAAGGAGTTGGGATTGTCAGAAATATTTTCATCTTCATTATTTTCAGAGATTTACCATGCAACATTTGTTTTTCTAATAGGCACCATATTTGTTTTTCAAATCATTGAATAGTGCTATAAACTCCCTTCACAGCCATGTATAACATATCGACATTATCACATGAAACAGTGCCAAAAACCAGTAAAAACAATTTTTATCACTGCTACTTGAAGGTACCTACCCGACATTTCCAAATGTGGTAGACTATGCTAATAAAAAACAAAATATCATTTTTCATGACTGCAGTTTATCAAAACTTCCTCATAGCCATGGTGAATCTCTAAAAATGATGAAGATTTTAGGTCATATTTTTTCTGATATTACCAACTTCATTGTCGTGATTAATCACCTGTTACCGCAACATTTCAAATTTTGTTCTCAGATATTGACGGAGAATATACTCAAAATCAAAGAATTTCAGTTTTTCCAAAAATTTTCAGGGACCACTCTAATATTTCTTTGTTTCTTATGTCCATTATATTTTTATCAAATAATGTTCAGTTTGGTTTCTGTTTGTATTTGAGAAAAAATGATAGCTGGTATTATTGATTGAAAAATTGGTGAGCGAAAAAAAAAACGACAGGAGAAATGAGGAAAGGGGCCGCAGGGGCACCAAGAATTATTAAGCTTAGGGCCCCAAAAATCATAGATCCGCCGCTGCCTAGGCTGGTGTCCAAAGCATTTGTGTGAGCACTGACCATTATCATCATTATTGAGGATTTCTCCAAAATCTCTTTCGCTGTCGAAATACTCCAAAAACACTAGTAATTATTTGAAATGCTTTCAAACGTATAGTTGAAGCAGACAGTACGTTATCAATAATGGAAATATATATCTGAACTGCAAAACGTTGTCCAGGTGTTTGATTTTCAACAAAGTCGTCGAGTGTAGTAGAGAGCCGCTGAAAAGGTCGTACTTTGTATATCGCTTGATTCGTATGCAATTTTTTACACTCGTTTTTACAGTAAGACGGGCCAGTTGTTGAAGCGCGGGGCCACTCAATTCGCAGGGCCCGTAGCATTTGCTACTCTTGCTACGTGGCTAATCCGGCACTGGTGAAAAAGGGTCCTGTCTCAAGGACATTCAAAACTCATCGTCATTTTTTCTTTTATTTCCAGAAGCTGAAAACGTTCGTGATCTTATTGCCACTTTGAAGTTACCGATACATACGAGTACGGTAGAATGGAAGCTCAAGCACTTGTACGAGGCATGCATGGACGTAGACAACGTCAATGTTGATGGGGCCAGGCCTATCTTGGACATCATCAATGATCTAGGTGAGTACTTTTTCTACTTTGACATTTGACACTTCCACGGCTTTTCAATTAGTGTAAGTATCAAATCACCCTGTAGAAATCCTTGTGATTCCAGAACCATTTCGGAAAGGTACATCAGGCTTCATATTTTCGTCCTAAGAAAATAATGGAAATAGCAATTTTTGTACAAAGGACGAAAAACTGTCTATTATAGTCAACCTGTCACTCAGGAGACTCATGGCCCTTATCGGTGTGGTTGGGGACTATGCGAGGAAGATGAAGAGACCTGATCACACATCCTCGGCGAATGTCCCGTATTGGCTCGCCAAAGAAGAATATAATAATAATAATTATAATACTTTATTTTCTTTGTGAGATGCAGAAACATGTATAGAATTTGTCAAAGACGATTACTAAAGCTAAAACTAACTAACTAAAATAAAACTGAAACTACGACTTCAAAATTCAAAATGTATCTAAGGAATAAAATCCACCCTTTATTAGGCATTTCCTAAGACATTGCTTGAATGCTTCCAATGTAACACATGATTTAATGTCGGCCAAAAGTTTATTGAACAGCCTTTGCCCAGCCACAGTAGGTGATCTATATGAGAGATTAGTTCTTGAAAATGGCACATGTAGGTCATTTTGCTGTCTTGTGTTGATAGAATGAATTTGTTTGTTAGATCTAAAAGAGGTTATGTTAGAAAATATAAAAACACATACTTCAAAGATATTCAAACACGGTATAAGGTTAAAATTTCATGAGATTTAAAAAAACTTCGACTACTAGTGGTACGAGAGACACCAGCGATACAACGAATTATTTTTTTCTGCGAGATGAAGACATCATTGAAACAAGTGGATGATCCCCAAAAGCATATTCCGTATCTTAGTATAGGGATTCGGCCTGTGCATGATATAACATTATCAATTGTTTTTCCGTCAAAACTGATCTCATGTTTCTGAAAAGATCGATGACGGAGTTGAGTTTTGAAATTACTGACTCACAGTCTCTCCTCCAGTGAAGACAATCAATGTATAGGCCTAGAAACCTCACGCATGGCACATTTTCCAACACTTTATTATTTATGTTGAAATGTATGTTTGGTACTTGTTTTTGTTTTTGATGAAAATGTATTGACTGTGTTTTTTCTGCATTTAGATGAAGTGAATTCATGCAGAAGCAATCATATAGTCTAAAAAGAACATCATTACATTTGTCGTCAAAGAAATAATTAGATTTTTCCGAAATGAGTATGGATGTATCATCCGCATACAGCATAAAATGTACAGATGGGCACGCTCTAACGATGTCATTTACATACATATTAGGAACAATATTGGGCCCACCACTGACCCTTGAGGAACACCTACACTGATATCAAGATAATCCGAGTTACAGATACGGCGGCGACGTGCGTGCAAATAATATTTTATCCATTCCAGGGCAAGTCCCTCAATACCAATTCTAATCAATTCGTTTATAAGGATGTTGTGGTCGACGCAGTCGAATGCCCTGCTGAGGTCAAAGAAGATCCCAACAAGGCACTTGCCCGTATCAACCAGATTAGTCAGGTTCTCATAAAAGGAGTGGACGGCACTGTTTGTCGATTTGTTTTCTTGAAATCCATGCTGGTTGTCATTTATTATATGATTCTGATTCAAGTGACGATTCAATTCTCTCTATGAGAGATATGCCTAGCCTCTGCATATTTGGAGCCTGAGGAGCCTGGGGAACATCCCCCTGAGCAGAATACTGACCTTCTGCGAAGGAATAGTGCTGTTCATGGAATGACCACGGACACATACATTGAGGCTAATCCTCACCCCATCGTCGAGCTTGGGCGAGGAGGCTGTGGGGGCCCTAGAGCTGGGACAAAGCGGGCTCTGGTGCTGGACCAGTGAGAGCTCTAGCCTTTGGATAAATAAGGACTCTGAAAGGGAACTCTGGGCTCAGACGACGCTAGATCGCTGGACCTGGGGGCACGGAAACGGGGCTCATACAGAAACCCAAACGCGGGACTAACAGAGATCTTGCAACGATTTAATCCATTTATTCATAATTAAAATATATACAAAACAAACAGTAGGATAAGTAAAATCCTCTAACATGTATGTTATAAGGTACGAACAGGACAATACAAAATTGATCCACATTAAAACCCTCTGGGGTTGGCCAAGAGTGGCTCAGGGAGGGGGGGGGGGGGGGGGGGGGCGAACTTCATATAACCAGTGTTTCAGGGGGCAGTATTAGAGTTACATCATAGGAAAATGTCCTTTCCGTTGCTAATTGGACGAATTGCTCAGGACGAGCGAGAATTGAAATTTTCGGATTGCTGCTTGCGTTCTCTTTTCAATTTATAGTTCTCTAACTTGTGGAAAATCAAAACAAAAACCACATTTTCGGAAATTCGAAGAGGGGGGCGTGGGTGAAGGTTGGTATGGGTATCGAGGGATGTATAGGGAGTAACAAACTGACTTCCATGTACTCTGGGGTGCATTCAGTCTGTTGGGGTGGAATGGGTGGTTATTCCAGGGGTTCCCAACTTGTCACCGACATTATAGTGACTTTCTTCGATGAAATCCATATTTTCGATTTAAAGGCAGATTCCGTAAGTTATAGTGCCAACAGTGAAAGGACTTGGTGTATGTTTGGTTGTCTACAGTACAATCATGCATTAATAGACAGATTGATCAGTATTAGGGGTCATTAACGGTCAACTTCATGAACTTTAAAAATATTTGTTAATACGAGGTCCTATGTCACTCTCGCACCGTGAGGTATCATAGTGACCACATCAGACGAAAACAGTCGATTTTTCATTCGGAAATTAGTACGTAAAATGTCATTTTCTGAAGAGATCGACGGAAAAATATCTCGTATCGTAGGACTTGTTTCGAATAACAGGTAAGTACCTAAGGTAATCTATACCCTGATCAATGATGAAAACTGACAGCTAAAAAAAAAAAAATTGTCAATAACGAAAGAGCATCAGGTAACTAGATTTTGATGTTGAATATTGTCAGATTATGTCAGAACATTTCCTCAAATAAGTATTATCTGTCAAAAATTCCACGAAAATTCCATCATTTTGTAAGAACCCTGACGAGTTCGTGGTGAGAATGAGAAGTTTTCATAATTGAATGCTTCAAACACTAGTATTCTATAAAAAACGTCTTCACATCGAAAAAAGTATATACAGGGTGAATCAGTATCCAGCGATTACTCAATGTGAGTGGATATATTTGTGAAAAAATATGTTTTGCTGACTAGTTATAGGAATACAGGGTATTTTCTTAATACGGGGCAAAACTTTTATAAACGATATTTCAGAAAAGTTTCCATATGTAATCGGCTGAAATTCAGCAGCAACTCACCCTTATTCAGACTCCAACAAGATGTATAAATATGCACACAAAAATTCCGTGCCGGACATGAAAAAAAATCATTCTCTTTTGAAATGTCGAAAATATTTTCTTCTGGATCGTATTCTTCAAAAACTTTCATGGGATGTCAGTGCCGTACTTGCAAAACTTTTTTATGTCAATTTTTTTCTTCTGGATCGTGTTTTCCGAAAGCTTTCATCGATTCAGAAAGACCAGGAAAAATACTGAAAGTATTGATGCCTTTCTCGAGTTCGACGACTTATTTTCTTCCACCAATCCAGCCGAAGGGTGCTGTGTTGATGTAAGAGCAATGTAAGAGCATTATTTCAGGCCTTCCTGAATCCGATGAATGTTTTTGAAAGGTACAGTCGCATTCAAAAAAAAGAGTACAAGTACATTACAGAGAGAAATCAACGTCATCCCATTTTGTCATAGGTTCTCAAAACCACAAAGTATTGGCTGAGCCAGTTTTACACAACTAGAACTAGGATTCAGAAATCCTCTCTTTTTAATATTTGTACGGTTTTTTACTGAATACGACTGTATGATCGAGAAGGGAGATATTTTGAAATCAAGAAAGGAAATATTTCTATAATGAATTGGCAAAATATACTTTCTCCCATATGAATCAACTCACCTCGACTTTCTCTATTCTTCATCCACGGAAAAAAAGGATGGGATGCATCAACCAATTATTTGTGCTCGAATTATTTTCGTTGGACTGAGCAATTTTTTGTTGACTCATCCAGATACAGGATTATTCCATGAAAGCAGCTTGTTTATATCAAGAATGTAGTCTGATTGAATCAACAGTATAATATCAATTCCATCAACAAAATATATGGTTTTCTCAAGAACAAATTATGTCGATCCAAAATAATGTCGATGTTGATTCAACTATAAACATTTTGTTGATTTGATGATATAACGATCATTTTGATGAGAATATATCTTTGAAACAACATACAAGTTTTCTTATTCCGATGTAGCAATGAACTCGTTTCGAACGGATCATTTGCTTGGATAGAGCAACGAAATATGTAATATCAATGGAATATTTTGTTCATTCTACATCTAGTTACATTTTCGCCTCTAATAGATGACGATTATTTCGCCTCGTCTATATGCATGCCTCGAATTCATTATATACGCGAGGCCAGATTCTTCGTCGTTGAAATATCAGCTGGATAAATCGAACATAGGATGATTAGCCTCGTGATTAGCAATACGAAATAGTTTTGCATCAGCTGAAGGGAAGTAAAGACTGGAGATCTATGCTAGAAGTCGACTAGATTCCTAGTTTAGTTTATTCTTTTGATGTGAAATTTCAGAAAACTCCAGAATTAATACTGTATTTGATTCAACAAAACAAATTGTCGAATTAAAATACAATTTTTCTTGAATCAACGAAATATTTCATTGAATCAACAAAATATTTCATTGAATTAACCAAATATTTAATTGGATTAACCGAATATTTCATTGAATCAACCAAATAATTCATTGAATCAACCAAATATTTCATTGAATCAACCAAATATATCATTGAATCAAATACATATTCGATTGAATCAATATCTTGTGATTTTGAATCAAACAAAATTTTGTTCTAAATTTTGTTCTATCCGTCA